AAATATTATTACTACTACTACTATGTTACCTAGGAAAGTGAGTCGGTGGTACAGTGGTTAGGACTCTCGCCGACCGTGCACATGGTCCGAGGTTCGATCTCCTGCTGGCGACTCACACCTGATATCTATGTCGGCCTGCAAAATTTCGGCTACCGATACCACATGCTGAAAATTCCATACTTGCACCGAAAATACGATGTGGCGTCAAGCTGTAATTAAAAAAATCTATTTATTGTCTTACTGTATTAGAAGCGAGTAGATATGTCTCACTGGTGTAGAGGTTCAGCCTAATGGGTTCAGGATTAGAATATTCTATCTAAGTAAAAAAAAACTTGAGAAGTCCATATACAATAACTTCTGGCCCGTACTTACATACAACACACACACACAAAATCTGTTCAGACACATAAACGCTGAGGTTGTAGAATAATGAGTAAGAAGTTGTAGACTTGTTAGTTGGTTGGGCTACTGAAACTTCAAATGCAGTGGAGAATAATTCCTAGTGTTATGTGGAAAGCCCTAGCGATGGATGCTACTAGTTTAGAAATAGGGCGTGAAGTGGTAGAGCACATTGACCGCTTCACCTATTTGGGAAATACCATCAGCCAGTGCCAACGCGTTGATCTCCGACGAAATCTCAGCACGGATACAGAGGGCTAGTTTCGCATATGCCAGTTTACGCCGTCTCTGGCGTTGACGTGATATCCGGCTGGCTATCGACCAAGGCGTGTGTACTGCTCAGCAGTCCGCTCCGTCCTCCTTTATGGCTGTCAGCAAACCTGGCCATTGAGAGTGTAAGACATGAAAAGATTAGCTGTCTTTGATCATAGGTGTCTGTATTCTATCTCCCGTGTGAAGTGGTGTAATAAGTTGAGGAATATTGAGGTTAGGCATCGGTCGAGTGCTATGTAAAGAGGGAGGGGAAATCAATCGATGAGGCTGTGAAATTATACCGACTGAGATGATTAGGACATGTGTTACTCATGCATGACTAGCCATTGCCTTCCTCGATGGGTAATATAAGCTGACATAGGGTCAGGCTGGAAAGGGCTAGCGGTGGTCAAACAAAAACATGGCTTCATCAGTCAATGAAATCCACAACAGTTAGTTTAAACCACACAGGAAGGTGTAGACGTCTTGGCTGGTTGGGGTCTTCGGCAATGTAAAAACCAATGGTTGAAAACAATCGGTGATATGGCTCAAAATCGTTCTCAATGTCTGGCGCAGATGCATACACTCCTTGTGACTTATAACTTCAAATGAAAGTATATCGTTCCTCGTTATTACTATTCCTTTGTCTTACACCTCTGTTAACTGTCTCTATTATGCATTTCTTATCTACTTTCTTCTGTTGCTTTGTGTGGTACATGGAGGGAGTGTGGCGACTACCAACTGCCGCACATAGGTGCAAAGTTCTATGTCGAAAACAGACAGACAGACAGCTCGATTTTCGGTTCGAGCAGACAGATCTGAGAGCCAACAGTTTAATGATAGAATACTCACAAATCAAGTGTAGGTTTGAGTTCAAATCCACTGTTAAACTTCGCCTAGTTTAGTCACTAATAAAAACCCTGAAAAAAAGGCGAGGGTTGACCGTCAACTTATGAATCCCACTCCATGAAACTTTGATGTTTGAAGCTTTAATCCATACATCCCAAACGGAACTCAATGAATGAAAAAAGAAAACAATTAAACATGCATGCACTAGCATGCGATTTTGTTCTCCTCTGTTAAAAAAATTAAAAGGATTTTCAAGGGTTGCTTCTTAGGATGCATTCGCACTCCAATCGCGCTCCTGAATTACAACATCTGTCAATTTAAAGAGAGACATAGCGCCAACACCACCCAATGTCGCCGGCGATTGTTTGTCTCCATATTCAACTTGATAAACACCCACTGGTTGCAGTGGTCAACGAGTTCCCCTTGCAACGCAAATGTCTTGTATTCAGTCCCTGGTGGTGTCATGTGTGCATACCGCTGAAAAGGCCTGCATATGGATGAAGCAGGTGTTCAGTATTCACCTGATTTTCAATGGTTCTCTAAAGGATATTAGCCTACATTCAAGTCGGTGACTCATCTAATTCCTACCAACTGAAACCTGAAAATTAATTTTCTAAACTCAGTAAAATAACTGATTACAGGATGAAGTTGTCTCAACTGCTGGAGAGAAGCTGTGACTAGCGGGGTTTACCACATCAAGTGAGAGGACAGACAGTCGCCTAAGATACTGGCTCGCGGTGGCACTATAAATCGCTAGTTAACAGAAGTTAGAATTAATAATAATAATAATAATGACAGTGGTTTGTTTTATTCCAAAACAGTACTTACGATACAATGTGGAATTCTCAGTATTCGGTACAATATTCTCTTTAATTCATTCAACACCAGCCAAAAAATGTTAGATAGTTGGAGGGAATCGGGCACAGGAAGCCTTGGACACCACCCAGGCTTCGTGCAACCTTGAATGAACTCATATCCCTTCGGAAATTCAAACCGGTGTCACCCAGTACAGCGCTGCAGTCAGAGACGTTGCAGATACGCCTTGATGACTGGTTGGTGAGTGTCAACTAACACGAAACCTGCGGCGTGGTGTCCAAGGCTTCCTGTGGCCAATTGCCTCCAACCAACTATCTAATATCATCAAATCAATGTGCTCACCGTGATGGCGAGCTACCTAGTGGTATGGTGGCCACATTGCAAACCTTACCAAACGATAGAATTCACTCTACCCCAAAGAAAGGACTAGATTAGTCACACTAGTTATTGACTAGTGTCCAATCAAAGCAGCGTTTTGGTATTTAGCGATGACAATAAAGTCTGAAATGCACAAAAAGTGTAAAATAACAACGATAATAATGTTGACAGCTAAAGTTATGAGTAAATTGAAATAGTGTCACCATAGACTGACAAATAGGAGAGGAGGAAAAATGAGCCAATTATTTTGCTAATAACATAATAAGTCGCAGGCTTCAAGCTTAACATTATCTCTATCACCTAGGACCATGGCCAAATATGGTATCGTGAACTATCTGTAGTTGGCTGTACAAGTATAGAATGTTTCATAATAAGTTCTAGTCGTCCTACATGATGAGATGCAAGGCGGGGACAGTTGTGAACAGAGAAGGTGTTGAGAGTCGGACAATATTGGATTTAAACCATTTTTCCCTTGAGTTCGGGTATCTCTGTTGGCTATAGCAGTAACAAGCTAACTGAGTGACACACCATTTTCCCTACTGATAACTCTTAGTATGACACAGTCCTTTTTTGTGTAGCCCAGGAAAGACTAATGCAGAGTCAATAAATCCTTTCCTAGTGAACGAATGTTCAGAAAAACCGCCTTATATAACCCAAAGAAAGGTTCAGAGTTCGATATCTGGTTGGAGAGGGGGAACGTTATGCGTACATACTGCTAAAGGGTTCTAAGTACTAGGACGATATAACCTTCCAGTACCCACTCTCCGGCATTCAATACTTCTCTAATTGATGTATGAATGCGTGATCGAATTTATAAAAATTTCAATATAGCAAAAATATTCATTCAGACATCTATAAAACACAAAATATTCGAGCAAAGAATAGCCTTTTCGATAAATTCCTCTTCTGGCTACACAACTATGTATGCATGTTTATATACATAGAATATTCTAGATTAGTAGTCAATATCAATATTAGTGTTTTCTAAATAACATCGATTTGTTAAGTAAGATCACAATGGAATTACAGTTCATTAAAGATACTTGAACTATATTAATAACAATAATAATAAAGATATAGTAGCAACTAGAATATCAAATAAAATTAGGAAAATTTCACAAAAATTCAGGATCATTCAAGCCTAGATGGCCAAGCGGGTTAGGATAATGTCTGAACTAACTTCTTTTGGATGCATAAATTAGGCTTGTTAATATGGATCCCAACAGCCAGCTTCAGCAACATTTAGTAGTCAAACTCTTAAGGCAAAATTGAGATTCGTAGGTATGCGGTAAATGACTTTGAAAGCTGCCTCGTTAACATCAATCTTGTGTTCTGTTGCTTCCACAAGATGAGACAGAATAGCGCTGTCGAATAGATTTTATTTGTCCTTTGCATAACCACTATGCAGGGAGATGTTAGGAAATTCGACGAGAAACATGCCTAATTGTATGGCCTATGTAACTGGTTTCACAGAAGCAGTTCCAAATTACGCTGTATCTTCAAAACTACTCCTCTTTTGGGTTCGGGAGTAAAGGACAAACTGCTTAATTTCGCCTCATCCATGTGTATCTACCAATTTAACTGCTCCTGTGGAGTGAGCCAGTTACATAGGCCGTACAACTAGGCGTGTTTCTCGTTGAATTTCCGAACATCACCCTGCATAGTGGTTATGCAAAGGACAAATAAAATCTATTCTGTCTCATCTTGTGGATACAGAACACAAGATTGATGTTAACCATGCTCTCAGGGTCATTTACCGCATACCTATGAATCTCAGTTTCGCCTAAAGAGTTCGACTACTAAATATTGCTGAGGCTGGCTGTTGGGATTCACATTAACAAGCCTAATTTGTGCATCCAAAAGAAGCTAGTTCAGACATTATCCTAACCCGCTTGGCCATCTAGGTTTGAATGATCCTCAATTTTTGTGGGAGTTTCCTAATTTTAGTTGATATTCTAGTTGCTACTATATCTTTATTATTATTATTATTATTATTATTATTATTATTATTATTATTATTTAAGCATCTTTAATGAACTGTAATTCCATTGTGATCTTACTTTACAAATCGATATTATTTAAAAAAAACTAATATTGTTATTAATAACTAATCTAGAATATTCTGTGTATATAAGCATGTAGATATAATTGTAGAGTCAGGAGAGGAGGAATTTATCGAAAAGGCTATTCTTTGCTCGAATATTTTGTGTTTTATAAAAAATTTGTTGTATATGATCATGTCTTCAAATTAATATTTCTCCATTAATTTGTTGTTTCTCTTCCTGTGGTTATTCTGTGCTCTCTAGATTACCTGTAACTTTGGCGCGAAAAGCGAACATCAGAAATACAAATAATCCATTCAAATGTATATTGAATCATCCGGCGGCGGAGGTTATGGCAAGAAATGGAGCAGTCGAAGTCATACAACAACTGCCTATTGTACAGATAATTCCAGTCATTGGTCTGGTGTTTCCGTGAAAAACAAAACCCGTAAACCTCTTGTCAATCAACCCTTATCAATATCAAATCTACCTCCATGTAACCCACTACAACAACAACAACAACACCAACAACGCCAATTTCACCATCAAGAAGTAACACAATTACAACAACAACACTCCAACTATCGATCATTGAATGGTTCAGTGACTCCAAATGATCAATATTATCCCCTATTGAAGCATGCCACGTCGTTGGGTTGTACAAAGATTAGTAGTACTCGAGGTGGAGGAGTTGGAGGCAGTGTCGGAGGACATGATTGGACAAGTGATTCACAGTCGAAATCAATCTCAGAAATGCAAACAATTCAAACCTCTCCAGATTTATATAATTTACCTCAAATGAGTCATTTGAGCACAGGGAATCCAATTATTGCTCCAGCTAGTACAGCTATTATCACTACTGCTGTAGTTCCTGCTCTTCCTGTAATCACACCTACTACAGGTCAAGATATTAGTAGTGGTATTATCAGTAGTAATGGTGCTAGTAATAGTAATAATAATAATAATATTCATCACAATAATGGATTATTCTACCATCACACGACAAAAGAACCACAAATTCTATCCAGGGAAATAGCACAACGCGTCATAGACAGATTCAATCAGCGTGTTCTGTTGAAACACATGGCCAAGTCGAAACAGTATTCCTATTCTCATGGTAGATGGCAGTATACACCACAGTATCATTTATTGGCTGTATTTCTAATGAATAAGGGTAGTGTAGAAGCTTGGTATGCCTACGCACCGATGCCTAACATTTATACCAGTCAACAAGAGCCTACAGAGCATACACGTGTTTTAGAGTTGACACAACGACGTCTTCGACTATTACAGCGGTATTATTCCGAAGGGAGACAATATGTTGTTCTCTATGTAAATAATAATCGATCAGAACATTATCTACCTATTGGTTTAGCCAGTGATCCAAATCAGAAAGGCAACTGTAAACACTATACGAATAAGAATCATTCGCTTTCAACATGTGATGAATTCATGAAAGATGGAAATCGATTTTTCTGTCGATTGATTAATTCAATTCTACCGGATAATTTAAAATTGAGCAGTAATGCTGTTACTACTAACAAAGAAATGAGTAGTAACAGTAGAAATACTAAAAACAATGATGATGTAACTGAAGCATTTGACGATACAAAAGTAAGTGAACAAACACGAGACCAGAAAATGAACTATCCTTCAGAAGAACAACAATTCAAAGAAACTGAACAGTTAGTTCAGCAAACAGGTATAACTGTGAGAAAGTCGAATTTTATGCAGAAAATTCTTGGACAATTAATCCCTTCAAATCACAAAAATAATGACAATGATGCTAACAATAGTAAAAATGATAAAGAGAACTATACTAATTGTATTAATCAAAAAATTGATTTAAATTGTTATAAAGCATGTCTTTCATATGATGGATGTTTCGTCAAGTCTAGTCCTCATCAACCTCAGGATAATTTCACCGGGAAGATGGACACTCCAATAACAACAATGACAACAGTTACAACAGGGATTAGTATTACAGTGACTCCAACTACATGTGCGAATGATCCTAGTGAGTGTTCATTGTTATCCCAATCGAAAAGAGATGAAGGATTCAATAGAAAGCGGTTAAGTAATAAGAATCGAAAATATGAAGATAAAGGTGACAATGATCATCCTAGTGTTGATGGCGGTGATAATAGCCATGTCGATGATGAACGGAGGAGTACAGTGAAGACTCAACAGTCAAATAACAACAAGACGACATTCTCCGCTAATAATCATGACAGGGGAAAGACTGGACAGACAGAGAAATTATCAGATTCTGAGGAAATATGGTTACCAAAATCGTTTGACCTGTAAGCATATCAATCAACTGAAATCCCACCAAAATCTATGAAGTAAGTAATGTTAGTGTGTTTTATGGTGACATTTTATATTGTCAAAAATTCAATATATGTATATTGTTTATCTTTGACCAACAATTTTATTCAAGTTTTAGTTTGCAAAGATTTGACTGGTTTCAAGATTTCATCATGAACAGATATCGGTTAAAGAACTATTGAGAAACCAACAGGGATTAATGGAAAACTGTTTCGTCCTTGTTTGGGACCGTTCACTGGTATGCACCCACTGTGGTTCAGACACAGGATCTACGGTTTACAAGGCGACCTTGTAGATCTGACTGATGTCAGTTCATGATGAAATCTCGAAACCAGCAGCTTAAGGAATTAGTATGACTGACATCAGAATATTATATCAGATAATTAGGTCGTTATCTGGGCAGCTTAGTTTCAGCTTAAGACAGCTGAGATGAGAGTATCCAAGACAGTGACGACCAGGAAATTTTGAGACAGGGTTTCAGTACTCGCCGAAATCGCTGTAGAACTCTGATTATTATTTATTATTGTTCCCTTCGGTTCCTAGTGGAATATAGGGCTTCAACTCCACGTCTCCACTTGCCACTTCTGTCTTCCTTCTGCTGTACTTTTCACCTCCATCCATGTTAGTTAGTCCACACTCTTTCAACTCCTCTTCATACGATCTCCTCTATGTTACCATCGCACTGATGTCTCACTCGCCGCTTCCCTTTCGGCCTGGTTCCACTCGGGCAATAGCCTGATGCACGCGCGCGATGTCACTCAGCGGCCTCCTCAGCGAGAGAGTGTCCATCTCCAATTTCTCCTGCATATTTGTTGGTTGGCGATTGGTTCTTGTTTTGTTTGTTTGTTCCCATAGTGATTCTTGTTGGTGATTCTTTCCTGTATCCATGTAAAATAATCTAAATGAATCCGATTGTACAGCTTTTGAGAATGAAATCGCCGAAAAGATAACTATAACCAAAATGGTTGCAATAATTGAAGTGCCTATTGACAATAATGTCACAGTTGGTTGAGTCAAAGGCATACCAATAACCCTACTCACAGACCTTAATGTTCTATGTAACACAATATAATCTTATTTTTGACAGGTCCATGAAACAATAAGTGAGGGTGTAACAACAGAAGACAAGGGCCGCCAACAGATCGCTTTATTACGGAAATCAACACGTATTTATATACATTTCCTGTACATTATTATAGCTTATTCAAGTAGATAAACGCAGTCTTCTGATTGGTTGTTTCGGGTAACCATCGAAAAGTGGAGCCATCTATCTGCGAATCATATTTGCCCACGTTAAGTTTGCTGTGATTGGTTGTTGAATCAGCCTTGTTCATATTTTCTCACGGCCCATATTAGTGACCTAGACATTGACGTAGATTAATGTCTACCAATTGGCTAGCAGCCTGCTCTCACCACACTCGTCCCCCGTCAAATAGCTTCGTGCGCAGACGTTCCGACCTTCTGGGTGCTACATCCTCTAGTTGAGGATTGTTACTGACCGGCTTGTCCCACTGTACCCATCTTTGGAGCTGACTGGCGTTAACTCGTTTCTGTTTATCACCTCTTCGGATGGTATATACTTGACCCCGTCTTTTTGTGATTGTGTATGGTCCTTCCCACTTTGGAAGGAGTTTCCGTGAACCTAGCCCGCCTCCAACTGTATATCTCCTGTCTCTACACTTCACTTGGTCCCCGACTGCAAAGGTAATGCACTGCGTCCTTTCTTTCATCTGAGACTTCGCGACATCACTGCGCTGCTTCCGTATTACATTCTTGACTGCCTCTTTCCTCTCTGCTTTTAATTTCGTCGTACTCCACTTTTGGTGCATGGGCCAGGTCTCATTGTGTACCGGTAATCGTGGTTTTCTACCATACATCAGTTGGAAGGGTGACTTCTTCGTTGTTTCCTGAGTGGTAGCCCGATGTGTTAGTAAAATCAGTGGAAGCTCCGTTTCCCAGTTCCCGCCCTTCGAGGCCAGCCACTCCTTCAGTGTACGGTTGTTTCTCTCCGTTAGGCCATTCGTTTGTGGATGGTATGGGGTCGTTCTGATCCTCTTGATGCCCAGCTGTTGCAAACGGGAAGTAAACTCTTCACTCTCGAAACAGGGACCTTGGTCTGTCAGTATTGTCTTCGGTACGCCGTGGTCTGCAACAATGTGTCTAACTACTGCATCTGTCACGGTTCTTGCACGTTGGTCTGGGATTGCTACGGCGTCTACCCATCGTGTCGCGTGTTCCGTCATCACCAAGAGGTACTGATTACCATTGGATGTCTGAGGAAATGGACCCATGACATCTACGGACCACAAGTCACCTATCGCGGTAACTGGAATCGACTGAAGTGGTGGTCGTATACCGGTCACCTTTCATCAGCTGGCACCGTGGACATCCAAGTACGTATCTTGCTACGTCTTCTCTCATACCTGGCCAGTACATACTTTGTCTTAGGAGGTCGGTCGTTCTGGCCACGCCTGTATGCGCTAGCTGGTGACATTCTTCTATCATGTCGTGGCGCGACGATTGAGGTATGACAGCCAGCCAGCTTCCGTCGTTCTCTCGCCAGGTCAGAGTCCCGTAGGCATTCACTCTGAGTCGATCCCTCTGTCTGAGTAGTGTGGTTAGCTCCTTACTCGCCGTAGTTTGATCCACTTCTATTCCGTTGGTGATCACCTGTATTACTGTATTCAGCGTATCGTCCAACCTCTGCCTACGTGCAAGTCTTAGTGGGTCTTGTTCTACTGCATGCACTCCGTAAGCGACCTCGGGCAACTCAGACTCATCTTCTGGTCTCGATAACAAATCTGCCAAGACATTTTCACTTCCAGGAACGTGTGAGATCGTAAAATCGTACTCCTGAAGACGCAACATCCACCGTGACAACTTCCCCCGTGGGTCTCTCGCTGTCTTCAAAAATTGTAGCGGCTTATGATCAGTTTCGATGTGGAACCGCCGGCCGAGTAAATAAGGTCTCCATTTGTCGACTGCCCATACCATTGCTAAACATTCTTTCTCTATCGTTGAATACTTTCTCTCTGTGTGTGTCAAAACCCTACTGGCATACTCAACGATTCCCTCGTCCTGTCTTAGGACCGCACCTATAGCGTAGTCACTGGCATCTGTGCACACTGTGAACTGTCTTCCTGGCACAGGTAGTTTTAGCGTCATTTGTTGGTGGTCGAGCAGCTGTTTAATTCTGTCGAATGTCCTCTGCGATTCTTCCGACCAAACAAACTTTGGCTCACCTAGTAGCCTGTATAGAGGGGCTGCTATCTCATTGAAGTTCTTCACGAAGCGACTATAAAACGCTGCTCTACCCAAGAATTGTCTCAGTTTTCTCTTTGAATTCGGGGCTGGAATCGTTTTAATCGTCAAAATTTTCTCCGGCAGTGGTTTAATCTCACCATTTCCCACTTTATGTCCCAACAGAGTAACATTCTTTTTGGCTATCTGGGACTTGGTTTTGTTGACGCGTAGTCCAAACTCTTCGATGCGTCGCAGCACGGCTTCTACATGGTTGACGTGATCGTTTTCGTTTTGACTGTATATGACGAGATCATCACCATAAACCTCCACGTTTTTCAAGTTCCTAAGTAATAGCTTCATCAGTCGTCTGAACGTAAACGGTGCACCTGCTAGTCCAAACGGCATGCGTTTAAATCGATATTGTGTCTGACCCACGATGAAAGCCGTCTTATCTCTATCACCTTGTTTTATCGGTATCTGCCAGTATCCTGAGCGAAGATCGAGAACCGAAAACACATTCGCACCACTGTTGGCATGGCACACGGTCTTAACTGTCGAAAATCAACACAGAATCTATACTTCCCATTCGCTTTTTTTACTAACAGCACTGGAGAGTTGTACGGGCTATCAGCTTCCTCAATAATATCATCTTTTAACATCTCTTGCACTTGTCGCTCCACTTCGCCTTCCAGATGACATGGAACTCTTCGCGTTAAAAATGACCTTACTTTCGGATCACTTAACGGAATTTCATGATTCACCTTATCGCAATAACCGTATGGGTCGCCATCTCCAGTGAACAGATGATCGTATTTATTAATTAACTCTGTCACATTGTGTACCGTCGACAGCTTAATCGCTGCTATCTCGCTGGTCTCATACATGTTGATATGCCCGTATTTCGTGATCACCACGTTCGCTTGCGTGTCGATTATTGCACCAATCTCACGCAGAAAATCCGCTCCTAATATCGTTCGCTGTAGTTCGGGTACAACAATGAAAGGAAACGTCACCTCGCAGCCACCAACAACGACCGTACAGTTCGATCTACCCGTGATACGCAACACATACCCGCCTACTGTTTGTACTGTCAATGAACACGGACTAACACTCTTACATAAATTCTTATCTATTAACGACACGGCCGCCCCTGTATCTATCAAACATACTACTTCTCGATCATTCACTCGCAACTTCGAATACAGAGCCCCTTTCTCAATAGCCCCCACTAAATCTAGGTTCATACGAAAGAAAGAACAAGCATTATACCGTCTGAAATTTTTTCTTTTTCGCCTTTCTGGGCAGTATCTTCTCCAGTGTCCCGGCTTACCGCATTCAAAACACCGGTCTTTTCTATCAGCCAACTTTAACGCCGCCACTTCCCGCTGCAATGCTTCAATTTTCTGCTCATATTCGTTTGGTTTTGGTTGGTCTATAGCGGCTACCGTTGTGCTCAGCAGCTGTCTGGTCACCTTCGCCAGCTCACTAATATCCATCGGCTGCGTTGCGTTAACCAGTTTTAATCGCTGAGAAATGTGGTCTGGGACACTCTCGATGAATTGGGAAGACAGTAACTGCGCTTCTGATTCTTCATCCAAAGTGGGAAGCGCGCGTCGAAGTAGATTCGTCAGTTTCACCGCCAACACTAGCGGGTCTCCATCAGGTCCAAGCTTCATTGACCGGAACTGCTGCATTGCTAGTTGTCTGTCTGTTTCGCTGTCAAACTCGGACACCAGTCGTTCAACCAATTTCTTCCAAGACGCTGTGCCATTTGACCTGTCTACGCTGTCATATGCAGCCTTCGCTCGGCCTCTCAACAGCGTCCCCAGACAACTGCCTTCGCCGCCTGCTCCTTGACACCCACCAGCTCAGCAACGGCCTCGAAGTCACGTAAGAAGCTCCGTATGTCTCCTTCTTCAAACGCAGTTGGCCACGGGATCTTCATTATTTTGGAGGCAGCGACACCAAATGTAACAACAGAAGACAAGGGCCGGCAACAGATCGTTTTATTACGGAAATCAACACGTATTTATATACATTTCCTGTACATTATTATAGCTTATTCAAGTAGACAAACACAGTCTTCTGATTGGTTGTTTCTCGGAAGTTAAGCAGACAAAGCAGGCTTCTGATTGGTTGTTTCGGGTAACCATCGAAAGGTGGAGCCATCTATCTGCGAATCATATTTGTCCACGTTAAGTTTGCTGTGTGATTGGTTGTTGAATCAGCCGTGCTCATATTTTCTCACGGCCCATATTAGTGACCTAGACATTGACGTAGATTAATGTCTACCAACTGGCTAGCAGCCTGCTCTCACCACAATCTCTACTTCCTTTTGCTGTATACATATATATATATATATATATTGGTCGATCGGCTGTTATCGAGTCCTCTGTCACAGTTCTCTTGTTGCTATTCCTTTCAGGCTGACTATCTAATCTTCAGTCTGTGATGAAGACAGACGTTAATGATAGTCCACAGCCATTTGGAAATACTCTTAGTGATTCACACTCTAAGTATCTGCTGTCATTGTTGAGCAGAACCACACAGATCTAACAACAAGTAACAGTCCATTCCTTCTTGTCTTTTGAAGCGTTTTGTGACTGTGCATCTCTCAACGATGCTTCAGTCAGTTGCACAGTAAGATGCAAAGATCGATTTCTTACAATTAGACTGTAACGACAGAAGACAAGGGCTAGGCAACAGATCGTTTATTAAGAAAATCAACAAATATTTATAGATTTTTATGTACATTATTATCAGAGTTATTGTTAGCAAAGAAACATCGTTTTCTGATTGGTTGTTTTCTTGGTGAAGGTTATTCTGTACTGCTTATGACCGTTTCTTAGATAGTTAAGCCATATATCAGCGAATCGTATCCTCCCACACTAAGTCTACTGTGATTGGTTGTTGAGTTCCTCAAGGTTAGTCTTTGTCGCTGTTTTTGCTGCCAACGATTTTGGTTTACAGCCAGTTGTCATCACAAGACTACAACCAGTCAGTTCCAATCGTTAAAATTATTACATTTTGTATGTGTGCGTGTGTGCGACACAAAGCAGTTTAAAACGCTTGTTTATTCTCACCCCTTCCATTCTATAACTAAAATGTGCTCTCTCTCTCCCTCTCTCTCTCACTGTTTTCCAGATATCACCAAAAATTCTGTCATGAAGCGAAACAAACAAAATGAGAGACGAGAATACAAAAGAAAGTTAAATCACCACATGAAAATGAAGCCCATCGTGAATATGAAAAGGTGAAACCTACGATTTTAAAAAAAACGAATCAAACATAGAAGAAAATATGAACTGCATTCAGGTCAACCTTTTCTATTGTTCTTGTGTTAATAAACTAAATTATTATTATTATTATTATGTCATTCAGTATTAGGCAAAAAACAACACATATTTATTTCAAAACTCACAGATATATATATACATTTGTTACATACTACTTATTTCCACAGGTATTTATTATAAGTAGTATTATTATTACTACTACTATTTCTGCTGTTGTTATTATTATTATTATTACTCATTTGATAGTACTGGTGATGAATGGTGTCACTGCTCAAAACATTGTGAATATATCTCACCTCTTCTTTTTATTTTAAAGAAAAATTATTGACTTTTTAGTTATTTATATAGTCATCTTTTCTTTTTCTTAAGAAATCTGTCTCTTTATTTTAAGTGGCTGGAGGCAGTTGTCAGGAGATCCTGTCTGACGTAAGTTTCCACGCTTGTCGGTACACTCATCAGTCAGAAAGACGTGTATCTGTAGTTTTGAAAAAAGAAACTCATATCCCTTGTGAAATTCAAACCCAGGTCACCTAGTGCTGTAGTCGGAGACATTACCCCCCCCCCACACACACACACACACCACACACACACACAGACACACACACAAAGTTATTCGAACTCGCAATTGATCTCCTTTAGGGATGTATTGGATATTGTAATTGGATACTAGATAGTAATTAAAAGAAAAGATTTGTGGCTCAGATGGATGATTTGCAATTAATACTGTTCCCTGAGCTGGCTAGTTTAATTCGGGAGATTTCTTCGTCCACCTTCAGGGGAAACATCTTTAGCGCAATATTTAGCTTTCTATAGTTTGGTTTGTAAGGATTAGTTATGTTTTTTACGAGTTGATCACGGATTGATATCAGTTAGAGAACCATTGAAAACCAGTATTGGAGTACTGGACAGCTGCTGTTTCATCCTAGTGCTTGGGAATCATCGGCAGTACGCACCCACTAGGATTCGAACCCAGGACTAATCCTTACAAACCAAACTATAGAAAGTTAATCTGATGCTCGCTAGTGACTTGCTACAGGTTGGAGTTTCCTGAGTTCTAGTGAGAAGTTGTGACCAGTGAGGTTCAATTAGATGTCACGTGTGTGAATGGATGTCCCACCAACGACAATGGTTGGGGTCGCGCTAAATCACGAATTGGTAGAAGTTAGAATTCACGAGCCATTGAATCGAGTTCCAGTGGCTGAATAGTATACGAGCTCACTGACCTTGTAACCGGAAGGTCCTGGGTTCGAATCCCAGTGGGTGCGTACTGCTGATGATTCCCAAACTAGGATGAAACAGCAGCTGTCCAGTACTCCCTGGTTTTCAATGGTTCTCTAACTGATATCAATCCGTGATCAACTCGCAATATTTAGCATAAAGTGAAATGACTTAAATTTCTTCATGAGCGATAGATAGAATTGCGTCTCCTGGTAACCATCTTCACATATGTATTGACCATTTTCTATTGACATGGATTTTAAACTTTCTGGTCACATGATTTACTTTTTATTAGTTGGTATATTTGGTCTACATTAACAGGTGATTTGTGATCCTGGATTCTGATTAGAAAGGGACGCACACGTTGGCCGATATAATGTCCATTTAGAGTTTGTACATTTTATTTTGTAAATGATACTATTAATTTTATCTCCTTTTTTCTGTTGGATCTTTCGATTTTTACAATATCGAATTAAGCGATTTGACTGGCTTGTGTGCTATATCTATCTAGTTCAAACGGTTTCCATATTCTAGCTGTTATTTCAGATCTTTCTTTTTTCTGATATAAGGTAGGACGAATTTTCTCGTGGTCTTTGATAATGGTCCCTTGTTGGTGTTATGACTCGAGTTTGAAAACATTTTGATGAAATTGTGTGAGGATATCCATTCTTTTTGAAAACAGATAGTAGATATTTTTCTTCCATTCTTTTCAACACTGGAGTGCTACAGTGTGTTTGATCTCTTTAAAATTACAATATCTGCACGCAGTTTGTTTTTGTAGGTAACTGGTGTGGGTTATTGCTACTATAGTTGAGTATTTGATCTGTGTGTGCGTTGATATTCTATATCCTTATGTAACTAGTGTCATGTGTCAATTCGTTGATATTGGTGTAGATTCAATTTTATCGTCAGTCAAGTTTGAAATGTGACCTTCAGCTTAGGTGGCTCAAATTCACGGTACACTGTGAATTGCTGTTATCAGATGGTTGGAGGCCGTTGGCAGGCAACCTTAGAGGATTTCTATGTGGAATTTTATTCGTCAACAAGTATTAAAGGTTATTGTTAAAGGCAAAGTTACACTTTAAGCACCACTAACTACCAGTCAGCGAATGACCTCCAACGTACCAGTCACATGAAGGAGGCATTTCTGTGTATGGAATACACATATATATTTATGAAAAAAATGCATAAAAACAGTATAAAAATGTGTTACAGAGGATACCTTCCTCTCACATGTGATAAAAATAGCTCTCACTTTTAGGTTCGACTATCAACAGAGTATAATTCCATTGTGGGTAAAATTTGTTTTGATATAGTCTCATAGTGTTATACAGTAATATTTCCTGAGCAATAGATTGTACTCGAAACATTGTCATCAGTAAATATTTCCGTAAAACACTGTGAGACTTTATCAGAATAAATGTTATCCACAATGGAATTATACTCTACCACCACAGTGCACACGTTCTATCCTTCCTTATATTAACAGAGTAATTTAACCACATTCTATGCGCATGTAATTTATTGAGGTCTTTAAACCCCAACAGTAACCCTAATCTTTCCGGAAACTAACCTTAACGTGAAAATATCCCTAAACTAAGTGTAATCTAACTCTAACCAACCCTACTGTCGCCTTTAATTAGCTTAACCTAACCCTAAGTTGTCCTTGGCTTAAAGCGTAACTTTATCCTTATCAATCTACGCTGAAACTTGTCAGCTATCCCATGTAATAGCATAACACTTCGATAAGCATATTTTAATGATGATGTCACTATTATTTGCCAGGTTCCACTGACTTGCTTAGTGAGCCCTTCAAGGTCATTGGCGCGGTCATGTGGTGAGAGCAGGCTGCTAGCCGATTGGTTGACACTAATCTACGTTAATGTCTAGGTCACTAATATGGGCCGTGAGAAAATATGAACAAGGCTGTTTCAACAACCAGTCACAGAAAACTTAAACGTGGACAAATATGATTCGCAGATAAATGGCTCTACTTTCCGAGAAATATCGAAAACAACCAATCATAAGACTGTGTTTGTCTGCTTAACTTCCGAGAAACAACCAATCAGAAGACTGCCTTTTTCTGCTTGCATAAGCCTTATTAATGTACATAAAATATAAATAAATACGTGTTGATTTTCGTAATAAAACGATCTGTTGCCAGCCCTTGTCTTCTGTTGTTACAGTCACACTGCATTGGCAGCTACTGGTGCTAAAAGTTTAACTTGGCGTCGTTAGTTAATAGCAAAAATAATTCAAAGTGTGTGAGAAATAAGCGTGTGAAAAATTGTTAATAAACTTACATAATCGAGAGAGGGTTGACAACTAATTAACTGGCTAAGGTGATAAATTAGTCACATGCAGAAATAATCGATACGTAGAAAGCGAACAAGAGAGTAGAGCTAGGTTACGAAGATTGTCGCTTTTCCAATGAATCAGGGAAATAAAACTGATAATAATTTCATAACTGCAGAAGAGGTTGTAAAAAATGTCTTTTTTGGGAAAAAGGGTTCATGAAAAAGATGTAACGGAAATCCTTCCAAACAGCTTGACTTTATTCTATTTACGAGTCTCCGATGCTACTGTATGACCGGTGTTCTGTGCTCTCCTTTGACAATCGTGCTGACTGATATTCATGCGCGCATGGAGACAATTTGCTGTCCTTAACTCCGCGGAAGCAAAGGAAATGGTAAACATACATTGAAGTTGACAACAGTGAGACACTGTGTGGAGTCAGTGAACCGTTGAGATGAAGAATAGAACCTCTTTTGAAATACTCTCTACAAGTGTCTTCGGAGAATTCCCTTGAATTTCAGATGTACATTTAGTTGTTTCCTCGGAACTTCCAGGTTTCAAGAAGCATTTGTTTGTCGAAAAAGGAGGTTGGATATCCATCCTTGATTACAATGTTTTTGAAGGATATGCGGTGAATTCTTGTCATGAGAGAGACGATGAGATTCCTTTTTCTGTGTATCGAAACAAAATTGGCTTTTGAGAAGGTGATCCTTGTAGACGTCCATCTGTTTCCCTTATTAGCTGGACATCTAGAATGCATAACTTACCTTTTGATTCAAATTCAATTTTAAATTCGACTGATTGATGAGTGTGTTGTTAGTTAGAGATTTCCAGGATTTTATAAGGCTCGATAATAAAAAAGATATCGTCAGTGTATCGCTTGAAAATGTTTAAAAGAATTTGAATAAAACAAGAACAACAGTGGCGGTTTGTGCAGAATAATATGCTACCATCAATGTTTATTTAGCTGGCTTTTCATCAACTCATCTGCTTACAGCCTGAATAAACTATAAAGTTTATATACGGAAGAGTTTTAACATACTTGCAAATTTTACATGATGTCAGTAGACACGAGGTTTCGGAACTGCTGAACAATGCTCAGAAAATTACGCTTATATAGTTTTTACACAGGCAGTTCAAGTTTAACCAAATAAATATATGCATACAATCGTAAAGGAGTTACGTAATAAAGACAAGAGATGCGTTAGATGTTGAGTAACTAATAAATTAGGTAACAATCTACTGAGTTCAACTCACATCATAGAAACAAGAGACAAGCAAAATTGCATTATATCAAAGGGGGGGGTGAGGTTAAAGCCGAAGACTACGTAATTAAAGGAAAGAAAGAATAAAGGCATCCAGTTACTAAGGGGGCAAGGAAAGACTAATAACTGCTTCTTTTTGAACACATAAATCGGGTTTCAAGCGTTTGGCAGAAATCGATTTGGAAAACTTGAGGAGAATCGAGCTCCTCTATCTTTTGATAATTTTAAAGGATTTCGCCAATTTCACCTCAATGACCTGTATCAATGAGATGCCTATTAATAGCACTATTATAAGAGTTTGTTCCCTTTAGACATAAGCTTTTTGGCACATGTTCAGAAAATCATAGATATGCCCTTCTTTCTGTTTTCGACATAGAACTTTGCACAAATGTGCGGAAGTTCGAGTCGCCACACTCCGTGTAGCACGCGAAGCAACAGAAGAAAGTACAAGAAAAGCATAATAGAAACAGTGAGCAGAGCTGT